TATTTAAATTATTTTATGCCATTATAAAATATAATTTTTTTAATATCAACTTTAGTCGATAATTCCTTTCTAAAATGTGTTTTTATTTTTGTTTATTAATATTAAATTTTTAATTAATCTTATTTATTATTAAATAAATAAATTAGCAAATAATTGTATATATTTATATATACAATTTTGTTTCGATTGTTTAGGTCATTTGGTGTCTCTATCTAAATACATTTCAATTTATTCAAATTTTTAAATTTTATATAGGTTCTCACCGAATTAAAAGTTATATTACACAATTTTTAAAATTTACAAGCTTGACTCAAGTTGTTTGGGTTCAACTCGCCCAAATTTACAGCTTTAGTAAGGGGGTTGAAAGTTGCATGATTGAAATTGTGACAAATTAAAAACTGGTACATAAATTGTGATAAAATTATAAAACTTAAATTATAAGTTTCAATATTTTTTTTATTTTCATAATTTACATACAAAAATCTAAGTATCATAAATTAATAAAAGACCCTATCTAGTTATAATTTTATTTTAAAAAAATCTTAGGTTGCGTTTGGTAGAACTCTAAAATTATGATTTAAGAATACAGTTATATTATGAGTTTATGAGTTTTTCAATTATGATTTGAGTGTGAAAAATTTGGTCTCCGTTTGGTGGAGTTTTCAAAATCTAGTTCCACACTCACTTTTGAGTGTGGTGTTTGTTTAGGGTTTTTAAATCATAATTCTACACTCATTTCTCAAAACTCAATTCAAAACATAATCATTACTTTTCAAAACTCATAACCAAACACATAATTCAAAACTCTTTTCAAAACTCCATTCAAATCAATATTTTAAAAATATAAATAAATACTCTTTATTTTATATTATTAACTTAATATTTTTTTATTCAATCCCATCATATTCTTAATTATTTATGCAGAGGCGGAGGGATGTGGGGCTCAGGGGTCACGTCCCCCTTCCCCCAACTTTTGAAATTTTTTTATTTTTTACTTTATTTTCAACAATGATAGAGATCACTAATTTTGGAGTTCTAAAAAGACCACTAATGACATGACACTCAATAAAAAAAGAAAAAAAATACAACATCGTTGCATGATTGAAATTGTGACAAATTAAAAACTGGTACATAAATTGTGATAAAATTATAAAACTTAAATTATAAGTTTCAATATTTTTTTTATTTTCATAATTTACATACAAAAATCTAAGTATCATAAATTAATAAAAGACCCTATCTAGTTATAATTTTATTTTAAAAAAATCTTAGGTTGCGTTTGGTAGAACTCTAGAATTATGATTTAAGAATACAGTTATATTATGAGTTTATGAGTTTTTCAATTATGATTTGAGTGTGAAAAATTTGTTTTGTTATGAGTTTTGAAAAGAGTTTGAATTGAGTGATGTGACATATAATATTGAAAAGTAAGTATTTTGAAAAGTGAGTGTGAAATTAATTTTCTAAAACTGTAACCAAACAACACACTCAAATTAAGAGGTAAAATTAAACTTCAAAAGTTCTACCAAAACATAGCCTTAATTTTTTGTTAATAGTATCTAATATTACTAATTCAAATAAATACTCTTTATTTTATATTATTAACTTAATATTTTTTTATTCAATCCCATCATATTCTTAATTATTTATGCAGAGGCGGAGGGACGTGGGGCTCAGGGGTCACGTCCCCCTTCCCCCAACTTTTGAAATTTTTTTATTTTTTATTTTATTTTCAACAATGATAGAGATCACTAATTTTGGAGTTCTAAAAAGACCACTAATGACATGACACGGCCTCGTTTGGCAAGAGGCTATTTTAGCCAATTAGTCAAAAAGTTACTAAATTAGCCAAAAAGCCAACAACCCATACTAAAAAGTCAAAGATTCTCTTTTCTCTCTACTTTTTGCACATCTTTTCGTAATTAGCCAAAAAGTCATCCCAAACATACAAGTTTTTTTTACCTACCTTTTTAGCTAAATAGCCAAAAAGTTACTAAATTAGCCTGTTCCCAAACGAGGCCTCAATAAAAAAAGAAAAAAAATACAACACCAAAGCCAAAATATCAAATCATTCATGGTGAGATCCACTGCCACATCATTAATAATAGCACTAATTAGTGCTCTCACTCATTTTATTTTTATTTTTATTTTTATTTTTATGGGGTAAGCTTTCAAACTGTGGAGTGCCCTTTTATGGGGCCGGCTTTCAAACTGTGGAGTGCCCTAGCCTTCCAAATAGATCTCAAATCAAATCCACTGACATACGCCACACACACACACACACACACACACACACACACACACACACACACACTTCCATTTGTTTGTTTGTTTTTTTTTTTAATTTTAATTCTAATCAAATATTGATACACAATCTTTTTTTTTTAAGTGAGTGCATACAACTCTAATTACAATAAAGTTAAAACTCTAAAATTTTAAAAGTATATAAATTTATTTATTTATTTATTTATTTACAGTACTTGTTAAATATTTTTATATTTTCTTTGTCTTCTTTATCTCACTTTGTTGTTTTGCAATTTACCAACTAGTGATTCACCAAATTAAGATCACACAACACAGATTTAGGATTACACTACAACCTTGGTGTCTTCTCTTCATTGTTTACAAGTAATTTTTTTTTTTTTTTACTTTTAAATAAAAATTATGAGTATTAGTTTATAGTTATTTGTTAAGTTTTGATTTGCAAATTTTTTTGATTTGTTATTATTTATGTTAAAATAAGAGATTTTGATATGCTAAAATAATGAATCTTAATTGGTGTTAATTTATATTAAAATTAGGGATTTGATTTGTGATAAAATTAAAAATATTAATTTGTAGTTAATATTTAAATTACGGATTTGATTTGTGAAGAATCGGTTGCGGAACCGAATGGGTGATGAATGGATGAATGACAGCTTGGTTGTTTACATTGAGAGAGATATTTTTTGATGGCATTAACAATGATATTATTATAGAAAGATTTCAAAAGATGAAAATTCGTCGGGATCAATTATAAAAGTTTAAAATTAAATTGTTTTTGTAATGAATATTAATTTTTAATGTTTAGCATTAGCTTGAAAAATTATTATTATGCTATTATTATTGATTGGGGAAGAAAATTTTGAGATTGTAATTAATAAATGTCTTTCATATTAAATTTCTGACTCCGCCACTATATCCATGTATTATGGAGCAAACCACATTTGCCTACACACTATTTTAATAATTTTTTAAACTTTTTATAAAATGATATTGAAAAAAAATGCTTTTAACTTTTTAACTATAGTCCCAAACAAGACCCGTGCGAGCTCTGCAATCCGGAAACCCCGACCAACAAAAATCTGTTAACTACCACGTCATAGTGACAACGAAGAAGGCTGGTTCCGCTAATTATAACAGTTGACTAACATTATATGGATTAATTAATATATCAATTAATAATGTATTATAATTTAAAATATGGATAAATTACATTGACACCTTCTGAGATTTAAGTTTATTTGTATTTTCTCTCCTCACCTTTTGAAAATTACATCTCCCCCTGAGGTTTAGAGTTTCATTACAGATTTTCCCTCTTAGCAATTTAATTTTTTTAAATATTAATTTTGTCCTCATTGGGTAAATTACATTGACATCCCTCACATTTTAAAAATTACAATCCCCTCCCTAAAATTTAAAGTAGCATTACCAATTGCCTCCTCAATTAGTATTAGTTGAAAAAAAAATTCATTGGAAAAAAAAAATTAATTGGTAAAAAAATTATTTGAAAAAAAATTTAATTCTTAACCAAATGATAATAACGTAAATTCAACTGATAATAATAATAATTTTCAATTAAAAAAAATGATAATAATTATTATTATTATAATCAGTTGAATTTACAATCAGTTTTAAAATTATTATTATCATTTTCCTGTTGATGAAAATGATAATAATTAAAATTTCAGGTTAAAATTATTACCAACTGATTTTCAATTTTTTTTATTATCATTTTCAGTTGAAAATGATTATTATTTTCATTTTTCCTCAATGTAAACTCATTTTTTTCATTACCATGATAATTATTATTAAACTGAAAATTTACAATCAGTTGCATTTACCAATTATTATTATTATTATGAAAATGATAATTATTTTTTATTTTTTAATCAAATTAATTTTTAATTTTTTAATTTTTTTTTTTAAAAATCAAACCATACATAGGCTAAGAATCTTTTAATAAGTCATTTCTTACGTTGATAACTTATTTAATTATTTATTACTTTTATGATATTTTTATCATATAAAGCCTGTTTGATAACCATTTCATTTTCAGTTTTCAATTTATATTTACAAAAATTTTAAAAACTGCTATAAAAACTTATTTGATAATTTTTTTGATTTATAAATGGTTGTCTCAGTTTGTAAATTTGAAGAAAAAACGTAAATTCAAAAAATGAGTTTACGTTAGTTTTTAAACAGAAATTTAAAAATTTTACTAACAAAATCTTTTTTCAATTATTTTTTTTTCTGATTAATTTTTTTTTGCTGAATTTTTTTTTCAACTAATATTAATCCATGGGGCAATTGATAATGCTACTTTAAACCTTAGGCAGAGAATGTAATTTCTAAAATGTGAAGAGTGTCAATGTAATTTACCTAATGAGGGCAAAATTGATATTTAAAAAAATTAAATTGCTGAAGGAAAATCTGTAATGAAACTTTAAACCTCAGGGAAGATATAATTTCCAAAAAATGAGTGGAAAACTGTAATAAACCTAAACTTCAGGGGGCGTCAGTGTAATTTACCCATAAAATATTTTTGATATTTATAATTTATATAATAACTAATGTCAATAATATATAATAACTGATGTCAATAATAACATCATAATTAATATTAATACATTAATTAATACATTAACCATGTAACGCTGCTCATAATAATAATAATAGTAATAATTAATACATTAATCATGTAACGCTGCTCATAATAATAATAATAATAATAATAGTAATTCATTGAAGCCTGCAAATAAAATTCATCCTCTTCAACTTCATGCACCCAGATCTCATTTCCCAGATGTGGACCCAAAAATCTCCCAACTCCAAACCCTAGCTCAATCCACCAGCATTTGCACTTCCAATCGCCACCGAAATTCAGGTATAATAAACACCGCCGCTTCGTACCTCCTATCTTTCAATTGATTGTGTTTCGTTGATTCAGTAAATTACACTCCAACTTTGCTCTGATCCATCGCTTTGAAAATTTTAGTTGATCTGTTGAGATTGAGATCGGTTCGGTATCAATTTATGGCTTTTGATCGTGTGTTGGTTTGCAGGAGTAGTGTAGTGTTTTGGTAACAATATGCAGCACATTCCGAACACGATTGAGGACCAGTTGATATTGAAAGCAATCAAGGAAGAATGTCCTTGGGAGAGTCTTCCGAAACGGCTTCAAGCCGTTCTGAATTCCAAGGAAGAATGGCACAGAAGGTTGGTTTTTGTTTGTTGATTCTGATATTAGATATTTCTGGTTTAAAAAACCTTGTTCTTCTGCTAGTTATGTTACATTTTCTAGCTAAATAGTCTAGATTTCAATTTTGGTTACTAGAATTGGTGGTTTTGCTTAATTGTATTTAAAACCAATTAGAATCCTCCCAATTAAAATCAATTTGATTGGCACCGGGTGTCCAGATCAAAGCCTGACTAATCCTAGTGGTGCACAAGCCCTTGGCAAGGAGTTTCACGAACATGTACCACGGTTAGCAATAAGTAAATTGATATACTAACGGGTGATATATTTCACTAATTCAATTATTGGACCGAAGGTTATTTACTCGTTTCAACTGTACATGTTACCCTTTCCACAAAGTGCATGACAAGTTGGTTAATGGGGCTTTACTTATTCCATGAGTTTCTTAACATGTTTGTTGGGTAATCCTTGACTTGCCTGCATCTGATCCAGCCCAAAACCTTGTTTAGGTGGGATGCAATATATATGGCATAGTGTTTTGCAATATTGCGAAGCAGTCAAGTGTAGTCCTCTATTTTGACCCCTCTCATCGTTATGAACAGTTGGGCAATTTTGTTTGTATTATGAATATGTTGAAGAGAATTATATCATAAAAGGCTAATCTTACTAAATTCTTCAAATGTAAATGAAAGCATTAGTTTTCAATAGGCATGAATGAACTTGAATGTTTAAAAAAATTATCCTAATGTAACAATGGAAGAAAGAATCCAATTTTTGGGGAGGGATTTGGAAATGACGCATTTCACCTACCTTCCCTTTTTCTTTCTTTATTTCTTATATGCTGTTCACAGCAACAAATGATTACTTATCCATTTATTTTCCCTGACAATGTGTGTATGTTAATTAATAATCCAACTTAATTATGACAGTCATATAAGAATGTCAGTCAAAATTTAGTAAAAAGGAACTTAACTGTCCAAGAAATACCGAGAGAATGCCAAGTCTAGCAGCTTGGTCGAGCACTTGCCCACAAAAAAAGAGGCTAGATGCCTAAGCATGCCTTGGCACTGGCCTATACTAGAACTTGGTCACATTGCGGACACTTTTTCATTGGTATTATTCTCTCTTATTCATAACAAGAATCAATTGTGGGAATGTTCTAGCCTTCACTGTTATATGCTACTGTAAAGTACTGAAAATTTTCATACCCAAATGAAATTTATGCCATGTGCTATTCTTGTCTATTTTGATTAGACATTCCGGTGTGATGATTTGCTTTAGAAGAGTTTTTGTCTCAAATCAATCACACATATAATGATATGCCAGGAATGAGATCATTTGCCAGTGGGTTCCGTGTAATATGCATGAATCTTGTATGCCTATTTGGTTCGTGGGTTTCCTTGAGGAATCAAAAAATCGATAACACAATTATTTGGAAACTCGTTTTGAGGTCAAGAAGGAAAAAAAAAAAAAACTTTTCCATCACTAACTTGTATCAGATTCTGCTTAACTGCCTTGGGCCTAATGCAATAATATTAATATAATCTTTTCAAGGTTCTAGAAATATTTCTGAACATTTCATTAAGATTAATATATACATCAACAATAACTGATGGTTTAATTTCTGGAAAGCCTGTGGAATTTAGGCTTAGGTATGACATGATGGGGAATGTCTTGAATTTCGTATCCAAGGCGCCTTTCTGATGGGCTGATGTGGCCCAACTGGCCCAAAATGTTTGGGCTATTTCTCCTGTATTTTTGGAGCTGATTATATATATATATATATATATTTGTGTGAAGAGCTCATTTTGTGTAGAGAGGGGTTAGGGTTTGGGAGCTTTGGGGCAACCACTATTGTATTGCCACCTTCTACTTTTTCTTTGCTAGTGAAATCTTCTCAACCACTATTGTATTGCCACCTTCTACTTTTTCTTTGTTAGTGAAATCTTCTCATCTTTGCATGTGGATGTAGTTTGTTGGCTTTAAGCAGATCCATGTAAAATTTGTGTGTTTGCATTGTGTGATTGTATTTGCATCAGTTTCCTATTTCATGTTCAGTTTAATCTGTGTGGGTTTGTCACATGGCATTCACTGCATCTCAGTTTATTTATTTATTCTTGAACCTTCAGTCTTGTGATTCTTGTCTTTTCATATGTTAAACGGATTTAGGGTTTGGGTGTTAGGTGTGGGTATGTGTCCAAGTGTCCGATTCATCTAATTTCCATGTTCAAGACACGGGGGCGCAGAAAATATGGAGATTTCTTAATATACCTCTTTTATTTTCTGGGTTAAAATGGTGATAACAAGATGCCATAGATCATTCATGCATAATAAGGGGATTTCATGCATAGTTTTCTGGTAACTCTTATTACTAAATATTAGAGATCAAGATAAGTTGTTATCCTCATATTCAAATTAATCCTTATCACCTTCTGTTTTTTGGTCTTTGTTTCAAATTCAAAATAGATTGTATCTTATCCTTACTCAAGTGCTTTGCACAACCTATAAGTTGTAACCCATATGCGTTCATAAAGGAATCAATAAGAACAAAACCTTCCTGCTCTCACACTATATATACTTGCTAGGTGAATGTCCAACTACACATGTCAGACACTATCCCATACCCTTGCGTAAGTGTCAAGTGTCTGACATAGGTACTTCCTACATTTAGAGGAGTTCATGTAACATAGGTCTTTTGTAATTGGAATCTATTTTATATGGACTTGGTAAGAGTACCGGGTGCGGATGCATGTCCAAGTATCATACCTTCGTAAACCTAAATCTTAGGATATTAGATATTGCATATTATATCACACTCATAGATAAGATGTTATAAATTATGTAGAAACACACTTGAAATTAAGTAAATTTAGGGAAAATATGAAATTTCTATCTCTCTCATTCAAGTTAGAGGCAAGAAATGTTTCTTTACTAGAAAATATGAGTTTTGCCTTCTACAAATATCATAAAAAAAAGTAGAGGATCCAAGTATCTAAATTGGGTATGGATGTCGGACACCTATCCAATACCCTTAACCTTATCGTATTTGGTAGACATGATGAGTACTTTGGGATAAATAAAAGAGTCCATGTAACATAGACCAGAGTGCAATGCACTCTATTGTTTGCCTATGGTCTTACCCTTTTATCTGCTCAATGTGCTGTCTTTGTGCAGGATAATCGAACACTGTATAAAGAAAAGAATCCAATGGAACACCTGTTTTGCTCGCAAAGTAATCAAAGAAGGTGAATATTATGAAGAGATGATGCGTTATTTGAGAAAGAATTTAGCGGTGCGTAATAAGGGAAATTCTGTTTGCTTTTTAAGTATTTAGAGAAGTTGTTCATACTGCTACAATAGTAATATATCTATTTTGTGCTCATTTTCCATGCTTGTGTAGCTTTGAGATTTAGTGTTCCAACATGCATGCATCATGTATTGCCTTTCAATTCTCAAAGAGAATCAATAAGTACATATTGGATGTGGCACCAAATAAATCTTCATATTTGGACTTTTCAATGTATTTGGTCCATGCTATGTCAGTTATGGAGAGGCTGGATGGTTTCAATGGATGCTATGTTATCACTTTTCAGATGCATCCTTGGCCATTTTGAATGCATGTCACTGTTCAAAATATATCCTAGTTTACACATTCTTGCACAAAAAGTTCCCTCTTTTCCTTTTTTCAACTTCACAGTTGTTACAAGATAACCAAACCAAACCAAACCTTGCCTTAAGTCCCATCAAATGGGAGTTGTAACAAGATACAACAATATTTTTTATTATAGCACTTTCTCTTTTTACTGATGAAGTAAAAATTTTATAGAAACAGTACCCTAGGACTTAGATGTTCAGTTAGCAGTGGCTCCTTTTTTTCTTTTATCTTTGGAATCATGCAGTTTACTTGTTAATTTTTTTGTTTGCAGCTGTTTCCTTATCACCTTGCGGAGTATGTTTGCCGTGTAATGAGGGTATCACCTTTCAGATATTACTGCGATATGATTTTTGAAGTCATGAAAAATGGTACTTATTATTTTTTTTTGTAATAATAAGATTTAATATGATTTCGCTAAAGGTGAGGCCATTTCATTTGTTATATTATGCTTAGCTTATGTATTCAGAAGTTGTAGTGCATTAATTCAGATGGCATCTCTCTGAGGTGCCCTTCAAGCTGTTTCTTTGTGACTAGTATGTTGGTTTTAAATTTCCCTGAAGAAACCATATTTTTGGATATGAAACACAGTATGGGTTGTATTGCTCTACACTATCAGGAATTTGGTTATTGAACCAAGCACTGCCATGTGCTTTTTGCTTTCACAAACATATGTGGTCATCGTGCTTGAATCAGAAATTATGATGGTCTTTTCATATCACTATGTGCGTGTTTGGGAAGTTGTTATTTTAGTAGGCTATTTTAGTTTTTAGCTATTTTAGTAGGCTAAAATTTTTGTGTTTGGGAAGATGATTGGATTTTTTTTGTAGTTGGATGTGATATTTGTGAGAGAAAAAGTGAAATGATTATGAGTTTGATATGACATTTTGTCTTATTGGCTATTTTAGCCTATTTTGTCTTTTTGTGAATTTTAGCCTAAATTAGGCTAAAATTTCACTTCCCAAACAGCCCTTATGAATTAACACTTTTGTCAGTATTTACTATTCAAATCAGAGGAGATCAAGGAGGTTGTACATTTTCTACAATCTTTGTACTCTAGCACATACAATATGTGACAATTGCTGGTAGGTTATGCCCGTTTGCTTGTCCACATGTAATAGGGTTAGTGCAGGAATGACTATCTGACACAATGTGATTGAAGTTTGAATTATTATTATTATTTTTTTTTTAGTTCGTTACTATCTCTTTAAATGAAATTTCCTGTGATTGGATCTATGTTTCGGTGTTACTCCACCTGTCCTGGTTTTGTTCTCTGCATAGC